ATGACAACGACCTCGAGGACCTCGGCGAAGAAGATGTTGAACAGCAGTGGGGATCGCACCCATCCTTGTCGCACGCCCTGTGTCACCAAGAACCAGTCCGATAGTTCTCCATCGCCCATGCGCACTCGGGCCCGCATTCCATCGTGGAATTGGCGGATGACTTCGATCAGCTTCGTGGGAAATTCCGGCCGTGACCAGTACCTTCCATAGCATCTCTCGGTCCACTGGATCATACGCCTTGTTCAAGTCGACGAAGCACATGTAGAGCGGTATTTTCTTTCCCCGCCCCAGCTTTTGGAGGCGGCGCACGACGAACAGCATGTCGACGGTGGATCGTCGGGATGAAATCGGCACTGTTCCTCCGGGAGGATGTTGTTGGCTTCGCAGAAGGCGCTTAGACGGTTGGTGATGATCTTGATGGGGACCTTGCCTACGTGAAATAGTAGCGCAATCCCCCTGTAGTTATTACAGCAGGACCGGTCACCCTTCTTGGACAGCATCTTGATGGTTGCATCAATCCACTCTCGTGGAATATCTTCGCCATTCCACACCTTGACTAGGATGGTATCGAGTTGTCCCAGGACGAAGGGTTCGTCGTCATCGATCTTGAACAACTCGACAGGGAGGAAGTCATGGCGGCGTGCCTTCCAGTTCTTGAGGCCTTTCGTTGCCCGTGCCACCTCCTCGAGTTCTGGCACATCTCCCAACCGTTGAGTGTCACGTGTCGCTGGCCGCTGCGTCACTCGTTCGATGATGTCTGGGTTGAGGGTGGGGGATTTGGTGTTGAGTAGGGTGCTGAAGAATCTCGCCCACCGCTGGAAGATGTCATCCCTGTCCCGAAGCAACACGCCGTTCTCATCCGCGACGAACTGCTGCCCCCCCGCTTGTCTCCCGCTGAGGCTCGAAGATCTCTTGAGGTATTGGTACAGTCCTCGCATGTCGCGATTTTTATAGATTGCTTCGAGTTCAGTCACATATCCGTCCAGGTGGGCATAAATGCCCGTTTCGACTGCTGTAGCCCCTCCCTTACACGCTGCTTTCAGAACCCTCGACATCGCTGAGTTCCAGTTGCCCCTCATCGCCCGGCGCGCTTCCCGAAGTTCCGTAAGGGCTTGCTCCAGCACTGCTCGCGTCTCTGGGGACTCACACCACTCCTGCCTGCGGCGTCTCCGCGGTTCCTCCCCCAGGGCCGTCCGCGCTGCTTCGAGGAAAGCATTGTTAAAGTCGTTCGTCCAGTCATGTGTCGAGGTTGAGGAGGAACCGATTAGTCACCGCACACCGTGGGTAGCATCGTAGCCCACTGAAGGGCCGGGTCATGGGTTCGAGTCCCAACAGAGTGAGTTTTTTCTCGCTAATTAAATCCTGGATTCCGTTGGAAGCGACGCCCTGCAAAGCTCGTTGTTAGTAAACTTGATCGACTTCATGAGTCGCGAGGGAAGGGATTGCTGTACCCTTTTCGCGATAAAAACATCTCAGGCAGGGACCGCATGAGGTGGTCCGACCCCCCCCTCCTTTGTGACCCCGGTTGGGTCATCTTGCTGGTAGAAGTGGAAAATAGGGGCCAGAGGGGCACGCGACAGAATCCAATAATGGGAGAAAAACAAACAAACAAAAACAAAACCGTGCTGCTTCGAACTGCAATTCCCGTCCCGACGGTTGAATTGCTTTTGTTTCGGTTTAGTCCGGGCTGCACGGATGTGGGCAAGGCCTGCCATCGAGGTTGACGGTGGCTACTACCATATTGTGGTCTGAGTCTGCTTCGACTGGGCGAACCGGCTTGGGGATGACGACCATGTGAGATTCTCGGCCGTGATATGCCTGCCTTGTCAGGATGTAGTCAAGGCGCTTGCAATCGTTTCCCGACACACCGTTGTACGTGTGCCATATTCCGCCCTTGCGTGTCTCAAAGAACGTGTTCGTGAGAGCTAACCTGTTTGGCGTTGCGAAATTCAACAGTAGCTTGCCATTGTCGTTGATCTCAACACGCCCGTACATTATTATTACGCTTCCGTTCCCTCCGTCCAACCTATCTCGCGTCCGCGCGTTGGCGTCCAGTAGGACATACATTCTTTGGAAGGAATCCTCACGAGACTGGCAAGTTTCCCCCAGCACACGCGCTTGCTGTGAGCGGTCGAAGGTTCGGTTGGAGCTTACGCGGCTACGAAGTTGACCGCTCCACGGTGGCCTGCCAACAGAAACCTCATGACCATAAGGCGTTCGTCGAGAAACTCCATAGTGAACGTGGATGTCTTGCACAGTGATTCTTTGACGGCTATCCCCACAACATGGACTCCAGCAGTCTCCGTGCCACAGCAGAACACCCCGGAAACCCGCTGCTGCAAATTCCGTTCGGCCTGCCCTCCGCGTCTCCTGCATTTCTACCACCGATACGTCTTGTCTCGCAGCCCCGTGTAGAACGCTGTAGGCTCGCCCGTATCGATTAGCCCCATTAATAGCCAAAGTCCGCACATTCCAGGTCGCTACCCTAAAAAGTTGACCCTGATGTCTCTTTCGCGCGGCGCGCGCTGCTCTCTTAGCTATAGCTCACGCGCCGCCCGACCCCTCTTTTTCCTCCATCTTCCCCTCTTTTTTATTTTTTTTGCTATTTTCTTGCGAACACTCGGGCTAGCGTGATCGTTACCCCGGTTCTTTCTTGCCTCGTTTCCCATAAAGTATTGTCCCGGAGCGGTGTGGCCGTCCATCTCTGGACTCTCTCCTTTCCTCTCTCTGGGGCATACCTTCACGGCGTGCGATCACTCAGACACTCTCATCGTGCTCTCTGCTGCTGCATAGCCCCGGTGTCCAAGCCGGGGCGTCAGGATTCAGTCTCATTTTGCAGCTACCAAAGCTGGCGGCCCACGAGCTACCCCGATCTCACGACAGCAGTAGCCCCCAACCGCCAAAATCAGGATTCCCCTCTCAACATTGATAAAGATCGCATATCCGTCGTTGCTGGGTGGTCTTTCGAGGTCTAGATCCACTTTCGGGACCTCGGCCTACCCCAGGGACGGGGGGGGCAGGTAGGCAAGCGGGCAGCGAGAATCGGAGATTAAAATATGTCTACTGTTGTCATCAGACGTCAATGGAGGCCCCCCTGATGGGAAAACAAGGGATTACCATTAACATCTCAAACTACATATCTGGGCCCCTCGCAAGAGCCCTGTCCACACAGCGTCGACCTGGAAACCAAGAATCAGCTCCTCCGCCAAGAGATCCGCCGTATGCGCCACAACAATATGATTCGAGAGGATCAACAACAGGCAATCAACACGGGACACGACACTTCGTCCTGCCTGCCGAACTCGCCTCAGGTAACCACATGCAGCAACGACCCAGATGTCACACAGGCAAAAAGTATCACACCAGGCAGCGCGCCGAAGCTGACCCAGAGGATTGTGCGGCCACTTGAAGTGACCCGCGCCGCCACCAGGAGGAGGTCGAAGGTCTCTGACTCGATCGACCCCTCCCTTGCGCCTAGCTCCGTTGAAATCATCGTGGACGACAGCGAAAGTGAACGCATGACGACCACTAGGAAGCGGCCCGACCCCAGGCCGCTGACGTCTGCACAGCTGCTGGACTTCGCCAGCAAGACCTACCATGATCACGCCAGTGCCGCTCCGGATTGTGCTCATTTGAACAAAGGGTCGCTCCCAGTGACGCGGGCCTACGTGTACACCACAGGCACCCCAATCCAGCAAGGATCTTTGGAGGAGGAGCGCATCAAAATCCCGAACACCTACAAGGAAGCCGTCAACTCCCCGCAAGTGTCAGTGAAAAGCAGCTATCGCAAAGGAGATGGAGAGTCTGGCGAAGCACAAGGTCTACAAGTTGGTTCCAATCACTATCATTCCCAAGAAAGAGAAGATCCTCGGTACACGGTTCGTCTTCAAACAGGAAGCCGACGGAAAGTTCAAGGTCAGGCTAGTGGTTCAAGGCCACGTGCAGGAGTCTGGCATCGACTACGGGAGGAGCTACGCACCAGTGTGCCGCGTTGGGAGCATTCGCACCTTACTTTCCATGGCATGCGAGCACGAATGGCCAGCATGACAGATGGACGTAGCCGTGGCGTTTCTACGGTCCACAATCGACAAGGACGTGTGGATCAAGCCCGCTCCAAGAAAAGACGCAAAGGACTCCACGACTGGGGAGATCACGGTCCACAAGCTCGAACGCAGTCTTGATGGGCTTTCACAGTTGCCGGTGCTCTGGTTCGACACCATAGGAGACGTGCTGGTGGTGATCGGAGTCAGGCCGACACAGTCCGACCCCTTGTGTATTCATATACGGAAGCGGCGACACTCTCGTCATCTTGACGCTGTATGCCGACGACATCCTCATCATCGGAAAGGACCCCGAGCTCGTGGCGGGCCTTAAGAAAGAACACCATGACCGCTTCGAAACGACGGGCATGGGGGAAGACATCCTCATTCTAGGCATGCAAGTCACGCGCAGCTACGAGGAAGGAACGCTGACTGTCCCTCAGAACAACCACATCAAGACCATCCTGGAAAGGTTCGGTATGAAGAACTGCAACCCTGTCAGCGCTCCAGAATATGGACAGGAACTCTCGACTGATCAGCCAGGGGACCAACTACTCGGAACGGAAGACACCAAACTGTACCAGTCCATCACAAGCAGCCTGCTGTACCTGGCTCAATGCACCAGGTACGACCTGTGCTACGCAGTCAACCAGCTGACGAGGGCATGCAGCAAGCCTGCTCAGGTCCACATGACTGCCGCCAAGCACGCGCTTCGGTACCTTCGTTGGACGACGGACTTGCCCATCGTATTCAAGCAAGGGCGATTCCGCATCGTAGTGTTCGCCGACGCTTCGTTCGCAGCTAACCCGGACAACAGGAAGCCTACCACAGGGTACCTGTGCTTCCCGGGAAGAGGTCTCATCAGATGCAGTCTCTCACGGCCCAATCGACCGTCGACAGCGAACTCCAGTACACTAGCTACGCTGCCAGGGAGCCCGTGTACCTACCTTTCCAACCTACTTATGGAGCTCAAGTTCGACATCGTCTCAAGCCTATCTCCATCCGCAGCGACAGCTCAGGAGCTCTCAGCCTCGCAGCCAACTCAATGTTCAGCTCGAGGACCGAACACATTGCGCTACGACACTTTCTTTTTCGGGAACTGATCAAGCGTCGCCGTATCACGGTTCGCCACGTCCCCACGTAAGCCATGCTGGCCGACATCGCCACTGAACATTTGGATCGGCACATGTTCAACTCCATCCTTCAACAGATCAAGGATTTCGGATGCTAGGCATCGGAAACAACAGCCAGCGAACGGCTTAATTGGCGTCACCGGTGTGGCATCAATGGGGCACCTGCATCTGAAACATGAAGGAAGCAATCACATGTCCAGCTATGGGCATGAATTCGGCGATGAATCTTCTTGGTTGCAACTTCAGGGTCCGTCTATTGCGTTTGTCCGATGATAATGAGTCACTGATACGTTTGCTCGCTGTTTAGTGTGGAGTACTACCTGAGCAATGAGAGCACATTCATATAGCAAGCAGAAATAGATGTCCGCCGAGTAGACGGCTTGCATAGGAAGGTTTTCACCGTTCCCGCACGGTATGTATGATTGACACGTTGTGTCGGAGTTCACCTTTTCCGTGAAAATGTGTGTGCAGGCAGTTGTTGTTGTTGTTGTTGTTGTTTCTCACATTAGCTCTAAAAAAGAAAGATTGGGAGCCCGTGGTCTCAAAACCCGGCATACACGACCCCACGAAGAAACAGAAAAAAATAGGGTACAAAAACCACTCGGAAGAGAAACAAAATGATAGAAAGAAAGACCAGCTACCGCACCAAACGAGAAAGAGCGTCGAGGAGACCGATCAAAATAAAATAAAA